ACTCCAACCGCTTCCTATTCCTGAATGGAAATGGGAGCATGTAACTATGGACTTTGTTATTGGTTTACCTCGAACTCCTCAAGGCATGGACTCTATTTGGGTTATAGTTGATAGACTGACTAAGTCTGCACATTTTGTACTTGTTAGAACTACATTTGATGCTTATAGACTGGCTATTATATATGTTGACGAGATTGTTCGTTTACACGGAGTCCCAGTGTCCATTGTCTCGAATAGAGATCCAAAATTTGTGTCTAGATTGTGGAAAAATTTGCAAAAAGCTATGGAGACAGAATTGAGGTTTAGTACCGCATTCCACGCATAGACAGACGGGCAATCAGAACGAACAATACAGACCTTGGAGGATATGCTAAAAATGTGTGCCTTGGATTTTCAAGGGAGTTGGGAAGATTATTTGCCACTAGCAGAATTTGCATACAATAACAGCTTCCACTTCAACATCAGTATGGCACCATACGAGGCTTTATATGGTAGAAAGAGTAGATCACCAATTTGTTGGACAAAAGTCGGGGATAGGGCTTTACTTGGGCCTGAAATTGTGCAAGACACTTCTGAGAAGATCAAAATTATTCAGCAAAGGCTCAAGACAGCTCAGAGTCGACAAAAGAATTATGCAGATGTTCGAAGGAGACCTCTTGAGTATGAGGTTTGTGACCATGTGTTTATTCGTGTGACTCCAATGAAGGGACAAGTAAGATTCGGTAAGAAAGGAAAATTGTCACCTCGTTATATTGGGCCATTTCAAATTCTAGAAAAACTTGGTCCCGTTGCTTATAAAGTTGTTTTACCACTGGGATTCAAGCAAATCCATAACGTATTTCATGTATCAATGTTGAGGGGTTATCTTCGAGATCCATTTCATGTGATTTATTATCACCGAATAGCTCTTGATGAAAATATGGGATACGCAGAATGGCCGGAACGAATCACTAACCATCAAGTGAAACAGTTGAGAAGCAAGTCCATCTCAATGGTGAAAGTGGAATGGAAAGAACACTATAGGACGGACACTACATGGGAAAAAGAGGATGAAATGCGACTACGTTATTCACATTTATTTCCCAACGAAGGTAAAATAAGTTTGGAGGACCAAACTTCCTAGAGAAGGGAAGATTGTGATAACCCTGTTCCATATTATGGTAAGTGATCTTAATTATGATTGTGATTATATGCTTGATATGGTTTTGTGTGATAGGTACATGATTATATATGTCTTTGTACTTCTATCTGTTCACCATAAGAAAATTTGTTTGATTTTCTACTTTAGAATTTAAACTGAAGGCCGTAGAGGCATCAGAAACCAAAATTGACCATGCCATTGTGATTAGCATAATTTTTAGAGCCTACGGTGAAATTTAATTAGAAATTGATTCGGATCAAAATAATTAGATTCAGAATGATTAAATTAGGACTGATTACTTAGCCTTGATCAAACTTGATTAGGCCAACATATATAAGTGGCCTATTTACATTTTTAAGCATTGCTTTTAGAGCTCATTTCTCTCCTTTGGCTGAGATTACACTCTAGAAAGATTGAGAGTGCCGAATTTAGAGAGAGAGGGAACTCAAGATAGAGAATTGATCAAGGAGCTTGGTGATCTTGAAGATTAACTCAAGATTTAACTACATTTGTAAAAATTGGAGCTCCTAGGTGAGTAAATTCATGAGTTTGAGTTTGTAAATTTGTGAATTCAAAATTAAATGGTAATCAAGAACATGAATTGAGTTGATTTTGATGAAATTGAAGTTGGTATGTACATGCATGAAGAGAATTGCCATGAATTTGCATAATCTAACATGTAGCATGTCAATTATGAGAAATTGAGAGTTGAATCATACATGCAAGCATGGTTTTGTTGAGCTTCATGAGAATAAACATCACTTGTGTCATTTGAAATGGTATTGGGGTGTATATTACACATGCATGAATGATCCATAGAGATATGGAGTTTGTATAAAGTTAGAATGCATGAGCTTTGACCATGTCAAGAAGAATGTTGAATAATTTGAGAATTAAATCATGATTTTGAGCAATTGGCCTCATATTGCTTATGTCATCATGATATATAATGTGCTTCCACGTTTTTTAGCCAAGAACACGAGTTTTGGGGTTTTGATTGTCAAGTCTGAGCTTTAAGAACAATTCTGGAAATTCCAAAATTTGGCATGTTCGTTCGAGTTGGAAGAACGCCGCTCGAGCGTGAAATGTTAGCTCCTAGAACTTTTGCAGACATTGATGTCCGCTCGAGCAGGGAGAGTCGTGCTTGAGCGTCAGTCACATGTTTCGACTCTCAGCTCGAGCGTCCGAGTTCACGCTCAAGCGCAAAAATGAGGCAACCAGTACTTTTGCAGACCAGAGGGGTCCGCTCAAGCTGTGAAAACAGAGCTCAAGCAGGTAGCCCTATTTCAGAAATTTGAAAAGTTATTTTGTGCTTCATTTTTCATTCCCTTTTATTTCTAAGCACTCTTAGACATACATTAGGCATTGTAAATGAATCAAGAAGATAAGAAAGAGGCCTAAGAGTAATGTATCAGTTAGGAACGGATTGAATAGTTTGTGACCCGATATGCGTTATGTATTGTGTAGGGTCAAGCACAAGAGCAAATCCACCGGCAGAACACTATGAGTAATATCTTAGTAAAGATATTTGAAGTATGCTATTTGTCCAATCGCTTACTCCTATTTGAGTTTCATAAGTTTGTTAATTTGAATTATGAACAAATATCCATTTGATATGAATGATTGGGCCAAAGGCCGTTTGATATGAATGATTGGGCCAAAGGCTGTTTGATATGAATGATTGGGCTAAAGGCCGTTTGATATGAATGATTGGGCTAAAGGTCGTTTGATATGAATGATTGGGCCAAAGGCCGTTTAATATGAATGACTGGGCCAAAGGCCGTCGAACACAAATGATTGGGCAAAGGCCATCGGATAGGAATGAATTGGGCCCGAGGCCATTTGATACGTCTGAATCTATAGTCGCTTGATACACTAGATAGAAACATGAATTGGGCCCAAGGCCGTCTAATGTATTTGTTTCAAATTCCGTTCATGTATCTCTTTTATTGACATTATTCACTGGGCTTTCGCTCACTCTCATTCATGTGTCTGTAGGTAAGCCAAGAGATGTCCAAACCCAGCCTCAGTGAAGTATGTGAAAAACAATCAAAATTTTGAGGAGTCAACCCATACGTCTCACGTACGAGACTTATTTTCGCCCTTTCGTTCTTTTGTTGTATTTTTGCTATGTTGACGAAAACGTTGGATTACCTTCGTATATAAGTTTGTTTGGCTAACTACATAATTGAAAGTTCTTGAATATAGATTAACTCTATGAGTATGTGTGAGCAAGGTTTTAAAAATCGGACCGAACCAGCCGGTTCAATCGGTTGAACCGGTGACCGGATAGGGTTCCGGTCCGATCCGGTCAACCCTCCTAAACCGGCCAGCATAAAAAACCGGGATATTTAGTGAAAACCGTTCAACCCACCGATTAAACCGGCGAACCGGTTGACCTGGTCACGGGTCAATCGAACCGGTCCGGTTTGCTTTCCATATATATATAAAATAAAATAAAAAATAAAAAATAAAAAAAAATCGGATCTTATTTTATTTTTGTTCTTCATTCTCAGCAGCTGCAGCTAGGGCTTCCCGAATCCCTTCTTCACACAGGTACTCTTCTCTTCTCTTCCTCTTCATTCATTTCCGATCTGTATCTCTATTTTTTTCCACCATTAACTGATTGCATTGATGGATCATGGATCTTTGATCTCTATTTTTTTCTTCACTTCTTTTATTTTCAGATCTTCCGACAGCCGATCTTTGATCTTTGATCTCTATTTTGGGTCTACACTTGACATAACCAAAATCAACACTTGATTAAATCAACACAGGTATCTCCGAATCGAAGGCTCCGAACTTTGTTTTTTTCCTTCACTTGATTTGAATCAACACACACACAGTATCTCAAATAAAACAAGAGAAGGCTCTTTTCTTTTTTTTTTTAGAGATGAGAAGAAGATGAAATTTATTATTAATGATGAAATTTATTATGCTCTGTTTAGGATGAAATTTATGTTAGTTATTAATGATGAAATTTATTATGATTTAAAGCTAAAATTAAACAAAAAAATTAAAATTGTATTTGGTTTCTTACTTTCATTTTAAAATTAAAATTAAAATTATAAATTATAAATAAATTACAGTCCTTTCATTTTAAATTGTTTGTTTGGTTTCTACTTTTCTTTCCTTTAATCTAATCAATAAATAATGTATTTTTGTTTACAAAATTAATTAATTTTTATATAAATTAAACTATTCCAATTAATTATCGTAGATATAGAAAATTTAAATTATTAAAAAAATATAAATATAAATGATTTCTTGGTATGTCTGGAACAGTAAAATAGACAAGCAAATTTAAAACAAACAAAGTATAATTAAGATACGAATAAAAATTCTTTGCAATGAATCCTTTTGTAATGGTTATATTGTGATAATTTAACCGTCTATGTTTAAAATTAAAATCAAATTACGTCATTTTAAGATGTTTAATTTTAATTTTAGCTTTAATTTGAAATTTATTAATGATGAAGTTCAGGCTCTGTTTTTTTTTTTTTTTGTGGATAATTAAGTCTCTGAATTGTAATGAATCTTATTATGATTCATTAAGTCTCTGAAGTTCAGGCTCTTCATTCATTTTTTTTTTTGGATAATTTTTTAACTTTATTATGATTATTGTATTGTATTGTATTGTAATGAATCTTACTTTGTGGAATTTTAATTTGAATAGGAGTATTGTTTTTTCTTTTTTCTTTTTTTCATTTGTTCTTATTCTACCTGGTAGTTGTGAGAGATGTCATCTGGCCAAAATTCAACAGCTAATTCCACCCAAGCCACAAGGGGAAAATCTGATATTCCATGGGCACATGTTATTGAGGGACGAGATGTTAATGGGAAGAAGACTTACTCATGTATGTATTGTGGGAAAACTATTACAGGTGGAGGGATTAATAGAATGAAGCAACATCTTGCAAAGAAGTCGGGTGAGGTTGGGCCATGTAAAAAAGTTCCCCCAGATATTCAGTATCAAATGCATGAGTCTTTGAAAGCATTTGATGAAAAGAAGAAGCAAAGTGTAGAAAATTATGATGAATTAAATCCTTATGGTCCAGGTGGTTTTCAATTTGAGGGTGATGATGTTTACGTTAATGTTGATGATGATGATGAGGTTGTGGAAACGATTCCTCGGAACAATAAGGGCATTTCAATCAATGAAGGAGCTGGAAGTGGGAATAAGAGTAGAGCACCAATGACACATAAAGGGAAGGGGAAGAAACATGAACCAACAAAAATTGGTGACTATTTTGCACCAAGGACCACTCCGGATTCTCAACCAACTATCAAAAGTGCTCTCCAAACTAAAGAAGCCATACATAGAGCACATATGATTGTTGGCAAATTCTTTTATGATACTTGTATTCCAATCAATGCTGTGAACTCCATCTATTTTCAGCCCAGGTTTGATGCCGCAATTGCCATTGGTCCAGGATATAAGGTCCCTACCTACCATCAACTTCGAGTTCCTTTATTGAGAGACTCAAAAAAAAAGCTTCAATTGTATATTGACACTTTGAAGAGTTCATGGGCTACGTGTGGATGTACTATTATGGGTGATGGTTGGACTGATGGTAGACAAAGAAATCTAATAAATTTTCTTATGTATAGCCCTATGGGAATTGCTTTTGTGAAATCAATTGATGCCTCTGATGCTGTCAAAGATGCTACTCTTCTTTCTAAATTGTTTCTAGAGGTTATTGAGTGAGTGGGAGTGTCGAATGTTGTTCATATGGTGACAGATAATGGAGCAAATTATAAAGCTGCTGGAGGACTTGTAAATGCAACTTACAAATCTATAAATTGGTCTCCATGTGCAGCTCATTGCTTGAACTTAATCTTAAGTGAAATTTCCAAGATGAATCATGTGCATAAGCTTTGCTATTAAGGCATCAACAGTGACAAGGTACATATATAACCGTTCATGGTTGTTAGCTCGGTTGAGAAAGAAGAAGAATTGGACTGAAATTGTGCACCCAGGAGCAACGCGCTTTGCCACTACTTTCCTTGCATTGCATAATATTCATGAGCATATGCATGATTTGCAAGCTTTGGTGACAAGTAAGGAGTTTACAAGTTCAAGGTTTGCCAAAGAGAAGAAAGGAAAGAATGCCATTGATATCATTTTAGATAAACTATTTTGGAAGGATTGCTTCATCACTGTTAAGATTGTTGAGCCACTTATGCGTCTTTTGCGTATTGTTGATGGAGATGAGAAACCGTCCATGAGATATGTTTATGAAGGCATGTATAGGGCAATCAAAGGTATTAAAGATATTTTCAAGAGAAATAAGAGGTTGTATAGGCCTTACACAACAATCATTAAAACTCGTTGGGATAATCAATTGCGAAAGAATATACATGCGGCAGCTTATTAGTTGAACCCAGCGTTTCAATATGATCAAGCTTCATTTTGCAAAAAGCCAGAGGTTATGAATAGTGTACTTGATGTGATTGAAACTAAAGCCACATCAAGTAAAACGAAGCTCATGAATGAACTTAGATTGTTTCGAGATCGACAAGATAGTTTTGGAAGAGAGCTTGCCATTACTACATCTAAGAAAACACAACCTGGTAATCACTCTCTCTCTCTTTTTTAATAGTAATTATCATTATTATTTGATTTTGTTTAGAATATTTTATCATTATAATTATCATTATAATATTTTTCTTTCTTTCTTGATAATAAGATGAATGGTGGAAGATGTTTGGACATAGTGCTCCAAATTTGCAAAAGTTGGCCATTCGAATTCTTAGTCAAACTAGCAGCTCTTTTGGGTGTGAAAGGAATTGGAGTGTCTTTGAACGCATACATACAAAGAAGAGGAATAGACTAGAACATCATAGGCTTAATGATCTTGTGTATGTTCATTACAACTTACGATTGAAGAATAGGTAAATTAATCTTTCTCATTTAGTAACTAATGGATTCTTTATTTTATTCATTTATTTAGTCTTACAATTGAATCAATATAGGAGGCATTACAAAACAAGGAATTATGATCCCATTGACATTGAAAGCATTGACAAAACCGAGTTTTGGATTATTGAAGAACAAAGACTAGAACAAGAGGAGCCTCCATTGATTGATTATGATGAGCTCGAAAAAATGCTTTATGAAGAAGATGAGCCTCCACGATATAAGAAGCAATGTCATGGTCTACGAGATGGTTAGAAAATAATGTTTCATCATTATGCAACACATTTTTTTTTTTTCTATCATTAATGATTTTATTTTAACTATTGTAGATGATGTTGAGGATGATATGGAGGTAGAACTTCTTGGAGATGATATCAACTTGGGATCTTTTGGTGACGTGAACATTGATAATAGATCAAACAATCCGAGCTCTAGTGCAAATGCGAACGAAAATGATGATGGTGATTGGCTAAATCATCGTCCCTAGGAGATTTCGGCTGTTGTTTGTGATGTTATGTTGTGTTGTGTTGAATTTTTTTCTTTGGACTTAGTTTGTTTATGTCTGGAAACTTTGGACTTTGTTTTGTCTTTTTTGTGACTTATGTTTTATGGATTGCTTTAGTTGGATGCTTTCATAATTTTTATTACTATGATTGTTGTTTTTGATGGCTAAATTTTCATCTTTAATTTGTTGTTAGTATGTGAAGTGTTATGGCTTATATTCAGGATTTTTTTTTTTTTTTTTTAAGTATAGAAAAATATCACTAAAAATATTTAAGAATTTTTTTTAAAAAAAATCAAAAATTTAATATTTAAATTATTAATTTATATTTTTTAAAAAAATATTTATGACGTAATTATGACGTCACGGTTCAATCCGATTCAACCCACCGGTTGAACTGATGACCCGTCCACCCGATCATTTTTCCGGTTCATTCACCGGTCCAGTTTTTAAAACCTTGTGTGTGAGTTATTATAAAATACTTTTGGAATGATTTTGCTATACCAGGTAAGCACAGCTCTATGGATAATTTGTAAGTTTGCTTCCGTTTTGGCCCCTCAACTCTGATAAGATATGTTTTATTTGGTTTGAGGCCGCGGGTAATCCCTTGATTACTGGCCGGTTATGACCTTAATCCATAGGGGCGGGTTTGGGTCATGACAGCAGACTTCACCGCTCGAATGGAAACCGCAAATTCTGGAATTTCCAGATTGCAATTCCAAGTTCAAACTCAACTTCAAGACTTCCAAACACATCCTCTTGGATCCAAAACTTGAGAAAACATGTGTAAACTTGTAAAACATTGTGAATTCAAAATCATTTCGCAACAATCAAAGCCCAAAATCATGCCAATTGTGCAAAATCAAACTTGGAACTTAAAGAACAAAACATGAAGATAACATGCACGAATTGTCTTGGCTTCAAAGTTTTCAAAACATGATCATATGAGGTGTTTAACTCAAAAACATGTTGAATTCTTAGAACAAAGCCAAAATTGGGACATGCAAGAGGAAATTCTTTGAAAACATCAACAAAAGACAATGAAATGAGCATGCATGCATGTCCTAAGCTTTAATCCTATAATATGAGCTCAATTCTTGTCTTATTCTTGAATTTCTTTTGAATTCATGTATTTGCTAACTTAATTACATAATCAAAGGCTTGAATTCTCACCCAAACTTCCCAATTGAGCTTCAAGTAATCAAATTCTTGAGTGTCCAAGCTGATTCTCCTCAGTTCCTCTCATGTTTCTTCCTTTTGATCTCAAATCTCTCATCCTCTCTTTCTTCTCACGTTTATGCCTCAAGATTGAAGGAATAAGAGTGTTTTATGAGTCGAGAGTCATATGTAAGCCTTATATAGGCTAATTAGGGACTTAATTAAACTTAGTTTAAGACTAGTTAATTACAAATATTTTATTCTAATTATTTTGTTCCGAATTGAATTTTAATTCAACCTACCATAAAATTCTAAAAATCGCAAATAACACATAATCTCAGTCAATTTTGTAATCAGATGCCGATAAGGCCTTCAATTCGCAGAACATAAAAGAAACATAGATAGATATTTCTACAACAAACAGATAGAAACTCAAATATCATATAACACATGCAATTAACTCAAGATTTCTTCTTAATTACTGATTAAGTACTCTTAATTGTGGATTAGTAGTTAATCACAGTTCAGGATTGTTACAGAGGCAGTCTACCCTAAAATGCTCTAAATGTGGTTGTTATGGTCACAATCAAAGGACTTGCAATGGCCTTGTGAAAGGAAAGAAAAGTGGATCTTCTGGGAAATCCAATAGTAGTGTAAGTATTCCATTGACTGAAAGTAAATAAACATTATGTTAGTAATAAATAAATATATGTTACTAATTACAAACTTCTTTTGTAGACATTCGTGGGCTTTAGGATAGCTGCATTATTTGGGAAAAAATGGAGTAGCCAAGCACAAGTTGATGGTTGCCAATCTAGGAAGAGGCCAGCAACAGTAAGTGGTGTTGAAGAATCAACTGATAGGAAACCAAGGAAGATGACAAGATCAGCAGCAACAGACATAGGCAAGAAGCAAGCGATGAGCAGCTAGTCTAGTGTGAACAAGTGGTTTTGAACACTTTTGTAACTAAAATAGGGTTTTTGCAATGTTCATGGGGTTTTTGCAATGTTCATGGTTTATCTTACCTTACTCACCACTTTTCTAATTAAAATAGGCTTTTTGAACAATTATGCTGTACATATGGGCTATGAAACCTTGAACAATGCTTGTATGGTTATTATCCTTCAATGGTTGAATGGTCCAAACCCCAATGTTTGGTTGGCTTGAATCACATTCTAAGTTCATGTGGGAAAATGATAGGTTTTTATGCTTTCTTTGTTATGGTTATTATGCTTTTGTCAAACTAGGTTTTTGCTTCAATTTTATTTACATTGTACAAATAAATGAAGAAATGGTTGCTTGAAAAGTAATCTAAGTTCAGCACATTGCTTGAAATGGTTTTTGCTTCAGAAGTATTCTAAGTTTAACACATTGCTTGAAAGCATTTTATTTACGTTTCAATTACAAAACAAAAGCATTTCACAAACCATTTCACCATTACAAAACAAAAGCATCACAATTACAAAACAAAAGCATCGCACAAACCATTTCAATCCAAAAAATTTATTTACATTTCACCATTACAAAACAAAAGCATTGCACAAACCATTTTCCCATTACAAAACAAAAGCATTGCAATTGCAATTGATAACAAACCATTTCACCATTTCAAACCAAACACAATTGAAATTGCCATTGTTCAACTAAAGCATTGCAATTTCAAAACACATTATGGAAGTAATGTACCCAGCCAAAAAACATATTATCAATTACGTAGCAAGCTTAAACACAAGTTTTCCTTCAACTATTTGGGAGTAGAAACAGTCCATTCATAAGCAATGTAGCAATCAAGGCAATGACAAGCCACTCATGTCGTGCACGATAACGTTGAACAGCATCCTCTAATCGTGAAACCTCATTGACAAATTCTCCTAGTGTTGCAATCTTATCCACCAACTTTAGCAAAACTTGTCTACCACGAGCACATATGGGTGGATCGAACCAGGAAAAAAAACCACAAGTCCTATTTTTCTATAATTGCAATCAAACATAAACAAAGTTGAGCAAGTGTTCATGTCATTCTTCCATACAATTGTTTTTGGGTGAATCTTCCATACAATTGTTATCTTTTTCAAATTGAAGATATTACTTTATTCTCAATTTCCTATAAATACTAAAAAATTGCTAA